GAAATCTGTCTAAGATGCAAAACCTGTGTCGTCATATTTTCGAGGAATTAGGAGTATTCGGGTCCGTATCTAATCTTTCGGGTCGGAGGTAGCGTTTCATTTTGAGATAATTTGTATATTGAATAAATTGATGTGAGAGACTATCGCAACAGCCGTTGAACAGGGAGAAGACAAAGGCCCGATACCTAGGCTTTATTCAACATACAATGGACAACAGTGGCTGAAAAGGAATGAAGGAAAAATTTGGAGAGGCGAATACAAAGTAATGTGAAACGACAAACAAAAGTGTAACATAACAACGATAAAGCTGAAGCCTCTATAGATTGGATAGATTGGATACCCGTCAATAGCTGCCTGCACGCAATAAGGCTACAGGGTTCAGTTAGTGTTCGGAAGCGTAGCAGCACCAAAAGGTGTTTGTTCATGATTTCCGTGTATGCACCAACCAGCTGCAGTGCCGCTTCACAAAAGGACGAATTTTACGACAAACTCGCCGAACTGATTTGGTTGAGCCGCAGCTCTAATATTTTAGTGCTGGCAGGTGATTTTAACGCGCAGGTTGGCAAACTGTGTGCATCCGAAGTCTGTTTAGGAGGGCACTTCGCCATCTCCGCGAACAGACAACGGGGATCGACTACTTTAGTTCTGCACGGATCACTGGCTGTTCTTATTTAGCGCCAACTTTCGACAGCTCTCGTCGAACGGCTACATGGTGTTCTAGTTCAACGGGCACATTGACCCAAGTTGACCACGTAGCTATAAGCTACCGTTGGCGTGGCTCAGTACGAATTGCAGATCCTTTTAGACCACCTGCGTTGATTCGGACCATGAACTAGTTCTGTTACGCTTCACTCTTTGACTCATGGGTCATCGGCAAAAGTCGCCTTCTCAGTTAGCTCCTCATCATCTGCGCGATGCAGCTGTCTGCACACGTTGAGGAGAACCCGGGACAAGAGCTAGGAGAACCGCGACATAGTGGAGTAGAACAACAGTGGAATCAGATTAGATTTGCGATGAACTCGGNNNNTCCGGGCGTAGATGTCGGTCCATTGTAATTGGTCGATTAAATTGTAACGTAGTAGATTATGATTGACGAGAAACTTGTAGTGTATCTGATCACACGTTTAGTCGGCAGACAAGCCAGAAGACAACGCCTTAATGATAGGCTTTAATCGACCCAAACCGAGGCATGAGAGCTAAAATGGGACAAGCAAAATGTTAGAATATGCACCCAGAATAACAGCAATCGATGCAACAGAAAAGGCAATAATAAATGCACAACTGCAACTATGAGGTGAGGCATCACGTATTTGGTGATGATTCGATGGAGAATTCGTTGTCCCATCGAATTCAGATTAGTCGGCTCCGCTGGTTAGGACACATATTGCGCATGCCCAGCCATCGTCTGCTGCACCGCGCCTTATTCGCATTTGCTGCTCCAGGTCTGAAGAAACCGCGTGGTGGTCAACAGATGACGTGGAAGCGAGGCATGAAGAAATGCACACAGCGATTAGGTAGAATCGGTGTCTCCCGTCTTCCAGGTTGGGGTCCGAAAGACTCTACAACTGGTTGGCTGGAGACATTAAAGGATATGGCGACTGACCGGCAGCAATGGCGTTCTTGTTGTCATTTCTTAACAAGGCAGAATGCTTGAAAACAGGTATGCATGAACACTTAGATTGTGTGCTCTGTGTTGAACATAGAGGTTCTTTTCTTCCATCCAATCAGGCCCAATCCCTGTCCATTTTATGCTTTACCACTTGATTTATGCATTGTGAGCTTGGCAGCGATCAATGAAGCTCTCCTTACAGCAACCAAAACCGACACACGAAAGTGCGTGGTTATTTGTTGTAAAACCTGAACAGAACTGAACTGTTTACTGTATCTCGCTGTACGATAGTAATGATGATGATCAACAATTGTCGTGTTCCTTGACCCAAAAGAAACCTTCGACTCGGTTGGCTGCAAGGCCCTTGTGAGTTCGCTTCTTAGAAAAAGAATGCCTCTAACATATTTAAAGCTATTTAGGTCACTGTGCTCGCATACTTCTTGTAGCGTCAGGGTCTGCGGAGAACTGAGTAGGTCGTTCCAACCCAGGAACGGTGTTAGTCAAGGGTGCGCTGTTGCGCCATTCCTGTTCGATTTCGCCATAGACAAAACACTGGAGAACGCCCCAAGTAATCTTCAAAATGTAGGTATTGAATGAGCAACTAAAGAAAAGCTGTCAGACGTAGAGTACGCTGATGACATCGTATGTCTGTTCAAATCTGTGGAGGACGCGCAAAGCGCACTTGACAGACTGGCAAGTTCTGTTGCTCTGTTTGGCATTCGTTTTCCACCTTTAAAGAACAAAGTGATGCATAACTGGTTGTCGCTGGGTCTCGTCATGAAAATAGATGGTCAGGAATTAGCTGCTTCTCGTAATTGGGTGGTGGTCGTTGCACCCAACCGAAAACAGTGACCTTGTTGTCACTGCGTATCAGACCAGAATGCTTGAAATAGTGTATGTGCACTGTTGCACTGTTTTCTCTGTGTTAACCATAGAGGTTCACCTTTTCCCCCGTCTGCCAGGATGAGCCCAGTTCCTATCCTCCTTCCGCATTCTTATGCACCTCGAATGAGTTTGGCAGCAGTCAGTGAAGTTCACTTCGATGTATTCCACTGTACTTTGATGATATCTCTGCGAAGAGCCATCCTGGGTTATGGAGGCACGCATGTCATCACACCACGTCAAGATGCAGTCTCATCGTGAACACTGAAAATAACTAAGTCAATTATCAAGCCTCTCATATGACTGGTGGAAGTTGGTACAGGGGTTCCAACTTTCCCGGTCAAAACCGTTGTAACGCAGGTGCATTTTACCTCCTACGTGGGTAAACATGTAACACTTAATCCTTCTGATCACGGATCTTTGTTGATCAGGAATTGGAGGCCTGTAGTTTAGTTCAGTTCAGTTCTTACAACCATTAACCATGCACTTTCGTGCGCCGGTTTTGGTTGCTGTCTTTCGGTTGCCCATTTGAATAAAATAGCAGAAGGATGATTAGAATGTTGAGACTAGATTTAAGCAAAAGGGAGCACATTTTCATAGACTGAAGTTACAAGAATAATGAGTAAATGCATGAGCGCCTCTGTTGCGACATCCAGCCATATCGCTCAGTGTCTCTAACCAACGGTGACCATGATCTCTAGATCCCCATCCAGGGAGCTTAGCGGGACCTATGTGAGCCAGTTTCCTGGTCAGGGTTTTCATACCCTCATGCCAAGTCTTAGCTTGACCGCCCTTCATTTTTTCCAACCCCTACCTGCCTCGGCAAGCATAGCTCGTCATGGCAACCTGTCTGGTGACATGCGTAGCACATGTCCCAGCCAACGTAATCTGTGGAGGTCGATCACTTACTCCAGTGGGCGACCGTATTTACCCAAAACTCTGTCCCTAACCTCAGTATTGCTCGTCTGGTTTCCCCACCAGATTCGTGCAATGCTGCGTAGACAGCGGTGTTCAAACACCGACAGTCTATTTCTATCCTGTTCCCGTAATGACCAACTCTGCACCGTAAAGCAGAACTGGCCGAACTGCTGCAGCATATACTCGACCCTTCATAGACAACCGGATGTCGCGACGGCACCACAGATGTCTCAAGTTGGCAAATGCCAACCAAGTTTTCTGTATGCGTGTCGACACTTCATATGCGATGCGTCCGCCAGGTGAGATATAGCTGCCCAGGTTGCAAAACTTATCTACTTTCTCTACAATTTCCCCGGTCAGGATGAGGCTGGGGACTGGGTCAACCCAATCCTGGAGCAGCATTTTACATTTTAAGGGTGCAAAGCGTATACCGAACATCGCTACACTAGCACTCAAACTATCCATAAAAGCTTGCAACTTACATGGATCTTCACTTAGTAGCACAATGTCGTCTGTATACTCTAGATCAGACAGTCTGCCACCTGGGAGTAAATCTATACCACTATCCTCCGCACGAGGATAAGGCTGTTTCAAGAATTAAATATGCAACAAAGCTAAATAGAAATAGAGAGAGAGGACAACCCTGTCGAACACCACTTTCCATGATGAACTCGGGTGAAAAAGTGTCGTAAGCTTGGACTCGGCCTCAGCTATTATTATAGAGGGATCGTAATATTGAAAT